GTGGCCCTGCTTCCGGTGGGGCTGAAGATACTGGGGACTTTAGCTGTCAGTTTTCAAAGACTGTTATGACTGTCTCCATCGTTGGCAGCCCAGAACGTGCCGCCTTTGTTTTCAGACCATTTAAAGAGGTCTTTTTTTGCCCAATGCAGTATGCCTTTCCATTTCTCAAGTGCCGCTGCCACGAGCATTGATTGTAGAGCTGAGAAAATGGAAATTCTGGGCAGGCTTGATGTTGTTTTCATTTGTCGTGATGCTGCTTATTGGCGCAGGTGTGGGGTTTTTGTTTTCCTGCTGTTGAGGGTTAGCCCACACTTCAAGTGGTGCTTCGGTACTGAAAGCTTGCAGCAAGCAAAGGTGCCGCCTGCTTCACAACAGGTGCTCAGGAGCCTTCCTCCAGGCCTCCAGCTGTGCAGTCTGGCTTCTTGGATTATTTGCTCAGCATGCAGATTGCATACATTTGGGGGCAGGTGTAATCCTGACCCGGACCTGTCCTAATTGTCAACCACAGCGGCCCCTCGTTCTGTCAGAATGCCTGCGTCTTGATCCCTGTACCTGTGCCTCACAGAGGATTCTGGGATTGCTGTTCTCCGTCCTGCTATCCCGAATCTGTTAGGATCCTTTGCATAGTCAATAACACAGGTAAGCGTTTCTCGAGTGTTCTCTACTTTTAGCTAAGTCCCACCCTCTATCCCTGTTTGCACATCCTCTTCTAAATCTGGCCTGCGTTTCTGACAGCTCCCTGTCAGTGGTGCAGTGGTGGTATGTTTGTTTGTTTCAAATGTCTTCAGCAAAGTTTTACTTGACTGTGGTATTAGTGCTCTTGTTCCATCATTTCTGCGTTCTGTTGGCTCGAATGGGCACAAAGGTAGGGCCTTTGATTTATTTGATCAGCCCATTCTTTCCTCTGGCAAGTGCCCCTTCTAAAGAGGTCGGCCCCATGGGGCTCATGATCCCTTTACAGCCCCTCTACTTGATCTCTGGCATTAGAATAAGATTAGAAAGCTAGGCCAAACCTGGCCCCGCCAGAAGTGTTGCTGTTAGGAGCAGAGTCTGAGACAAAGCTGGAGACGTGCCTGCTAGCTGCTGGGAGCCCTGCTTTCTACCACGCTGGCTAGGGGAGAGCAGGGCGACAGAGGCCTGCTGGAGCTCCAGGTCTCTCCCTGGTGCCTGGCGTCCTCTGTGCTCTCTGCCGGATGCAAACCACTAACTCACTTAATTTGCCTAAGTTAGTGCCACCCAGTGTATTCAGCCTTGGGGCAACCCCGCAGCGCACTCACAGACGCCTGCCCTTTGTGTTGTCTCTCACTGCCCGTTAAAACGGTTCCATGAGGAAAGTTCACTGAATTTGTCCGGTACTGCCGCCGGATTAAAAATCCCCTAGTCTCACCGAGTCACTGACTCAGACAGGAAAATTGCCCCATCTTGTGCAACAGCATCGCTTTCCAATCACTCAAGGTTGCAGTTACCCACCCACAAACCTCTTTCCTGGATCCTGCTCCTGTTTCTCCCTCACCCCTCTCCCGGCTGCGCCGCCCTCCCCGGGCTTGGTGAGGGGGGGAGAGAAAGGCACCAGACGGGCCCTTCATGCTCTGAATCTGGCAGGTGTTACTTTAAAGCGGACTTTGGAGGGGGCCGGGTGGGCGCTGGAGACCCCTCTTCATATTAGGGACCTTTCATTGTGCACACCCCTTAATGCAAGTCATGCTCACACCTCAGCCCTTCCCGAGCGCTCCTGGGAACTGGATGCCTTCCTGCCCAGGACCGGCCCCCGCCCCGCCAACTCATGCCAGCTGCCTCTACTGCCACACCAACGCAGAGTGCAGACCAGCCCCGGGCAGCGCCCTCCTGCAGCCAGCCTGCCCCTTAGGAGGAGTCAGGCACCAGTCAGTCCACTTAGTCCCCATTTTTAAGGGTCACCTACGGACCCACACTGCCCATTCTGCCCCTTGAGCAGCTGGGGGTGGAGCAAGGCTCTCCTCACCAGCTTCATCTCGAGCAGCGATTGAGAGTCGACTTGGGGAGGGCTGTGACAATGATAGCAAGTGTTCAGACGCGCCCCTCCTTGTTTAGGGCCCCACGTTGCTGTCTGAAATGGGATCGCCTTCGAAGCTTAGCCGAAGCTGTCCTCTCTAGCAGAGGCTCCCAGACCCATTTGGCCTACCACCCCTTTTACGAAACATCAGCTATTCAACGCTCCCCTGGTAATTAAACACGTTTGTAGCCCGTAATCTCGGACAAAGCCTAGGTATCACGTGCTTCTGCAGCCCCCGCCCCCGATCCTTCCTGTGCCCCTCAGAGGGGGTAGGGCCCACTTTGGGAATCACTGCTTCAGAGCATCCTGTTGGGCTAACAGGATTTGAATTTCTGATCCGTATGGCCAAAGAACGTTGACGTAACAGTCAGCAAACGTTTGCTGGGCATCTACCGAATGCGGTTACAAAGGAGCAGCGCCCCAGCCCTGCTGAGCCCTCAGTCGAGGACAGAGTTGGCAGGTGCTTGGCCTCCGCCTGTGGGATCCTTTTGATTTATCCTCGCAACCTTCCCATTGTCCTCACAGCCACTGCCAACACGTGCCAAGTCGGGATTTCCGGATGCCCGAATTGCCGAAAACCAGCAGCTCCGGCCGTGGTAGGGCAGCCTGTCTGCCAGGCAGCGTTGGCTGGCACCAGCCGGGGCCGCCCTGCGAGAAGGACTGCTGTCTCCAGATGTCGGTGCCACTGAAGCCAGGCACCAGTTGGCATCTATCACCGCGGCCTCTCTTGGCTGCTTTTCCTTAGACAACACAGCGAAGCATCGTGGTGCGCCCGCCCCGCCCGCCCACGAACGAAAGGCCAGGGGATGGTGCCCTCCAAATGCACCACGCTCTGCTGGGCTTCCCAGGCAGCGGCCGAGGTGTGAGTTTAGGTGCTGTCGGAATCAACCACAGGTCTCATTATGACCGCGAAGCGGTTACTCGGTGGGCAGCGGCTAACCACAAGGTTGGCAGTTCGAAACCACTGCAAAGAGGAGGCTTTGCACACTCATCCAGAGTTACAGGCCCACAGGGGCAGATCCGCCCTGCCGACCAGGCCACTGTGAGTCGGTGGGGAAAAGCCAAATAAAAGCAGGCATTTCCCCGGGTTTGTTGTCAGTGCAGTAAAAGTAAGTGGCATGAGCTGCTGTGTTAGAGCTTCTCCCTCACCCCCTCCCTCACTGGGTGACCCTCTGACCTGTGGCCTTCAGTAAGGGGGCAACCCTCCTTTCTCTCTGAAAGGAATCGGCCTATTTACTGGTGGGCTCCTCTGCCGCCCTTCCAGAGGAGCCGGGACTGAGAGGGCAGGTTGAGGTTTTCTTTTTCTCAGAGAGGTAAAATCGAATGGTTGGAGGAATGTTCCAAATTGTGCTCTGAGCTGTTTGTTTTGTTTTCCTTCTTGACAAAGTCAGGGAAGCCTCTCCCCTGCTTGCCTGAGTTGGAGCAACCCCAGAACTACTCTGGGGAAAAGCTTTCCCTGCCCAAGGGTAAGGGAGCCAGCCTTCTGTGGAGTCTGCTTCCCTGGCGATCTTTGGTTTCAATGGACGCAAAGGAGAGGAGGCCGCATCGCACCTCAGCTGGTGTGAAAGTGCAGGAGTCTATCCTTAATTGGCCGTGCCAGACTGGCATGCTGGACTCCTGGGCCTTGGCCAGTCATTGCTTGTTAAGGGCTGGGTCCCTTCAAGCTTTGCTGCCTGGCCTTTTTCCATCCAGCCTTCTGGTCTCATTATTCTGTTTTCTCCTCAACGGAAGGCAGGCTAGTTAAGAACTGTGGTCACAGACCACCGTATTTGGGCACACCCACCACAGGCGTGCGCACACTCCCATGCACATGTACACACGCGTACATACACCGTGCAGTTCAGAACGGAGCTGTAAGAAACACTCTTTGGAAACCTGCTATCATTGTTTCTTCATATAAATACTTTTGAGGATGGAGAGGACATTTCCCTGCAGTCCTAGGCCCAGAAATAGCTGTGATTCCTCTGGTTTGTCCCGGGGACTCCGTGAACCATGACGTCCATGCTTTGTATTAGGCTTAGCTTTGAGAAATCTTGGAGGCAGATCTGTAATCCTCCTCCATCAAGCACACAGGACCTTAGGACATCCGTGTTTGCCCTTCTCCTTACTCCAGCTGCATTTTATTACTTTTCTCCATTTCTTCCCTTTTGGCCCCGATTCCTTCTTTATACACTCTTGAGAAGGAGGCAACGTATAAGGAGCTGAAATAAACGAAAATGCTCATGAGTTGCTGGAAAAAAATCAAGGAGCCTCACTGGTGTGGTGGGCTACATATTGGGCTGTTAACTTCAAGGTCAGCAGTTCGAGTCCACCGGCAGCTCCTCGGGAGCAAGATGAGACTGGCTGATCCATAATGATTTACAGCCAAAGAAATCCTATATAATCCTTAGCAGTTTGTTTTTGTTTTTAGTTTGATGTTATATTTCTGATTCTTTCGGTAATCAGATCTGTAAGTTCTGCGTGGTTTCCATGAGGAGAACCATTGAAGTGTTTGGGTCCCACATCTTCTCCCCCTCAATTAGCAGTGCTGATGTTTGTGCCAGAGCTTGAGAGAAGCGGTTTGCTCTGGCCCTCTTATTTCTCCAGGGACCCCATGTTTTGGGGTTCCCTGAGACTCAGCTTTAAGGGAGCCTGTTAATGCAGAAAAGCACTGACATACCTCTGAGTCAGAATCAACTCGAAGGCAGTGGGTTTGGGGTTTTTGTTTTTGTTTTGCTTCTGTGTAGGACGGGAAGGCCGAGGAAACACCTGCTTTGCTGGTGGACCGGATCCTCCCCGTAGTAGGTGTTCAACGAGCGTTCTGTGGCTTGTGTCTGGTTGTGGCTCACGCCTGTGCTTATTAGCTCTCTGGAGGGATGGGCTGTGCCCTCCCTGGGCTGGCTGTGTCCCGGGTCCAGGTCTGGGGAGTGCAGTCTGCTGGGGCAGCGGGGGCTTGACTTCACTGACAGCTTCCGCTTTTCTTTTTCAGAGTATGACCGCCTGGGCTTCCTCCTGAAGCTGGACTCGAAACTGTAAGTAGAGCGAGCCAGCGTCTTGACTCTGTGGGAGAGCAGTCTGATGTGTGAGAGCCGAGGGCTGGCTTTGAGGGTCAGCTCTCACGGCCCCTGTGGTGGTGGGCGATCCCTGGGGCCTCGGATCTCAGTCGGTTAGCAGAACCTTTGCACCTGTGACAGCGTGCAGGCCCTGGAGAAGAAGGCATATTCGTACAAACTTTCAGCCATAGATATGTTTGAGACGGGCAGCTCATTACTGGAGGGCCACTGCCAGGAGTGTAAGGGACAGCGAGGTCCCTGGAAAGGCTTCTGGCATCAGCCTGGCCTCTTGAAGATGCTCTGCAGCCTGGCAGGCAAAGCCTTTCCAGACGGAGCCTCTGCCTTCCTCTCCCGCCCCAGCTCCTGCCACTCTCCCCCGGCGAAATCCTCCTGTTCCAGAACCTTTGCACGAGCTACGTTCTGGGCCTGAAATTCCCTTTCCTTGCTGATTCACCTGGAAAACTCACAACTGGAGTTTTAAGGCCAAACTCACTGAATACTTCCTCCCCACACAAAGTAAATTATCTCATTTTCTAGGCTTCTTTACATTTCCTGCTGTCTCCAGTTATATCATTATACTGTCATTAGCTGCAGAGTAAGTATTAATTTATTAAGAACACAGGCATGGATCAAGGCAAAACTTGGTCCAAATCTCAAATTGCCTTTTACTCTCTTTTCGATTTTGAATAGGCTATGCAACTGCTCTGAGCCTCACAGGGTTTACTGGTAAGGATTTGATTGGAAGGATTAATTAATTAATTGGGAGGTTTCAAAGGTGGCTGATCCTTCTAAGATTTGTGCCCTGTTCTGCCTTGGTTAGTTTCTTTAACATCTAGATCAGCGGTTCTCAACCTGTGGGTTGGACCCCTTTGGGGGTCGCCTGATTCATAACGGTAGCAAAATGACAGTGATGAAGTAGCAACAAAAATAACAGTTATGGTTGGGGGGTCACCACCACATGAGGACCTGTATGAGAGGGTCGCGCACGGCATGAGGAAGGTGGAGAACCGCTGCCGTAGGTAAAGCTCACCCTCCGCCAGTGGGTAGATTCCCACTCTTCGCAGCCCTGAGGGCACAGGGGAACTGCCCCTCTGGGTTTCCAAGACTGTGGACTGTCCTAGGGGCAGAAAGCCTCATCTTTCTGCTGTGGAGGGGCTGCAAACTGCTGACCTTGTGTTGGCAGCCTACTCTGCCACTAGGACTCTTAATACCTAGAATACGCTAACAGATGCTAGTTGGATGCTCAGCAAACACAGAATTCATGGGTGGGTGGGTGACTTTGCACTTCCCCATCCAACTCAGATCTCAGTCCATTCTGTGTGTGTGTGCTCTGTGCGGGGCCTTTCAAATGGCTGACCTCAGTAAATGCTCGCCAAGTTACCTGGCTGCTTCTCGATGGCTCCTCTGCGCCGTTAGTCATCCTAGTACACTTGTGCCCCTGCCCTGTGCCAACCAGCTAGCGTGGGAGATAAGGATTGTGGCTTCCTTTTCCTTGATGCCAGCGGAAAGCAGCTTCTGGTGGGTGGTGGTCTTCCCTGCAGACACGACATCAAGCACAGTGCTCTTGGACTTGCCCCCTGACTTGTCTGGCCAGTTGTTGACTCCCACCTGTGATAGCCGCCAGGAGCGAGTGTGGCTCCCGGCGAGGGCTGGAGGCTGGGCTCTCTTCCAAGGCAGACTGCCACCTCTTTCGTCCAAGGAGCATCTGCTAGGTTCCACCGGGGGATCTTTCAGGTAGCCGTTGAGCACTTTAACCACTTTGCCACTAGCATTCCTTATTGTCTAGCACATGCCCCCCTCCACC